AACTAAGGCAGTTACCAATAAACTACAAACATTATTTAACTGGTGCCTCTTCAGAATAGAGGGAATTAAATGGTATGATAGAATTACTAACGTAGAGCTTTGGAAGAGAACTAAACAAGTTCCAGTGGACCAAGAGGTGAAGAAAAGACACACTTTGGGAAAACCTGAGAACAATATAACTATTATGTCTCTGCACTGGAACCCAAAGGGGCACAGAAATAAAAGAAGACCAGAAAACACATAGAGAAGGGAGCTATAGAGTGAAGTTAAAAAAATGAAGAGGATATGGAGAGATCTGCATGCAATAGCGAAGGCTAGAATGACTTGGTGTGAGTTGGTTGAGGGCTTATGCTCCACTGGGAGTTTGGCAGCTGAAGAAGAAGAAGAAGAAGAAGAAGAAGAAGATGAAAAGAAGTTGAAGAAGAAGAAGAAGAAGAAGAAGAAGAAGAAGAAGAAGAAGAAGAAGAAGAAGAAGAAGAAGAAGAAGAAGAAGAAGAAGAAGAAGAAGATGTAGGAGTGGGGAGATGAACAATCAGACAGATCGACTCACCTGGAACTAATGGGAGGGAGGGGAGGGGTCTTGTTTCAAGACCCTTTTGAAACAAGTGAACAAAGTGGAGGCACAAAAAGATTATTATGGTCTGGAGAGAATGGTACGACTAGAGGTGGCCAGGGTATGTGTTCGACACTCTACACTCAGAATAAAGATAAGACCGATATATAATCTACCAGCATCATCAGAAATGGAACTATTGCTATAATATAAATTATTTCCTTAAAACTCATCATGAGAAAGGCAGAAGAAGGAGGAAAGGAAGACATGCATTCACTACACAGTTCTTTCTTCAACACAGAAAACTGAAGATGAATAACCAAATATTTTAGTAATAAAAAACATGACAGAGAATTATTACTGTTGGACACAGTTATATCATCGTTATCAGGTGCCTTGCCGACTGGCGTGGGCAATTATGCCTCTCAAAATCTGCGATCTCCTGCAGCATGCATCAGTTCATGTGCTGACACACCTCCATGCCATGCAACAGGACTGTTAAGAATCTTCTCTCGTTGTTTTCCTCTACCCCTCCCTCCACAGATCTTTCCACTGATCACAACATGTTCTATTTTCCCTCTTCTCATAACATGGCTGAAAAATAATGACTCTCTCACTCTGATGTCTGTGATTAATTGTCTTCGGGCTTCCGCCTCTTTATAAAACCTCTTAGTTGCTTTTTTTTGGCTGTCCAAGGTATTTTGAGCATTCATATAACACAGTTATAACAGAGCATTTGTATAACACAGTAATATTTATAGGAGTCCTTTAATAAGCAATGATCATGTTTGTGTGATGTATAAGTGGCAAAAGACAAAAGTAAGATGCTTAGATTACTTACGAGGTGTTTCACAAGATCCATTCGAGACACTAATGTCATCAATAGACATGTTTCCAATTCCATTAGAAAACTTGCCTAGAAAGGATACCTAAAAGAATTTTTTTTAAATCAGCAAAGAGTTTCAACACTGAAATAAAGTCAGTCACAAATGCAGGCTAGGGAGTTGCCATGGCATTGGCGGCTAGAGGCCCAACTACAGGTCAGAAGGTCAGGGTTCACGTACTGACAGAGCTGGACTTTTTTTTTTAATGACCTCAACATCCAGGTCAACCTAACTTTGAGTGGGTACTAGGTGCAGTCCTGGGAAGTAAAGGTGGTCAATGTAATGCTGACCACATCACTCATGAAGTGCTGATTGGTTTGATAGGTCTAGCCCTATATTCCTAATATGCCTTAAGGTGTAGAAAAGGGACCTTCACAAATGCAGACAGATTCCACTGGTTACAGGTATCATTATTATCATCTTAGGTGTAGGCTGTCCCAGGCCCCATGAGTGATGGGTGACATTGTCCATTAACTCTTTGAGTCCCAGGGGGTTTAGCATCACAGACCCAAGGGGTAGTAAAAAAATTAATAAAATCGGCGCATCATGCGTTCATTGGGCTTCTAAGTAGGAACCTATGAACGTATTATGCGTTCCTTGGGACTCAAAGAGTTATGTTAACTGAACATAACATAACGTTTAAAGTTAAATGATAACATTAAACTGGCTAATGAAAGGTTTGCTGAAATCAAATGTGTTGCATCAAAAGGCTCAGATATCGCAGCTTAGCTGTAAACCATAAAACAATCTGCTAACAAACTCTTAAGGGCAAATGCAGAAGAAGAGAAATAAAGAAGATCATCCTTTAGAGTCTTTTCAGAGAAATTAGGCTATCACCACAAGTGATTCATCAAATGTAGTCAGTGTTCAGTACAATGAATATTTTTTGCAGCCAAGCCTGCCTATGAGTGGAACATGAGATTAAGCAGTCATGTGCAGGACGTGATGTTTCCTTGGGTGTGCTTAGGACCAGAGCATAATGTGTCTCTACATTTATGGAAGCCTCCTTTAATGGTGCGGAATGCTCATGACTGGCCCCTGCCTTCCCTTGAGGGCTGATCTAACTACTAGCAGTTGCTCTAGCCAGATCCTCCAGGGGAAACACCTGTAGAAAAGGGGACAAATAGAACACCCCACACACACAAAAAAGCTATGAAGTTAGATATGTCAGCCCCCCCGTGTGGGTTCTGGGGCCCTGTTAAAGGGAAAACAAGAATAGGAACAATGCCCACCCAAAAGCATGTTGTCAGAGTCGATTAATTGGGAGCTTCCTTCGAAGTCGGAGTGAATTTGCACCAAGAGGCAAGGAACCAACAGTCTGCATACAAATGAGTCAGATCTGTAAAGTGGATGCACACGCAACATTCATATTCTGGAACAGGACCGCAGTCCAGAAGTGGATGAACAGCCAAAACTATCTGCCAGAGTTTACAGCTGGTGAACGTGAAGAAGAAGAAGATATGTCAGCTGAAAGGTGCAAACATCAAAGCTTTGCTGTAAAAAATCACAATGCAATTAAATCATTCAGGTGAATGAAGAGAAGGAGATATTTACACAGAACTTAATAATTTGTAACTGATTCACCTTGCTGAGAGCTGATATGGTGAAGGAAACCTGAACTTTATTCCACTCATCTCCTGGCTGTGGGTTCTCCTGAATCCATAAATTCAACGACAGATTTTTACTGAAATCCCAAAGGTGCACAACAAGTGACTCTCCTCTGCTACTGTCAACATGATAGAAAAAAGTCAGACAGTATTCACCCTTCTGGGATACATTTGCTGACTCTAGCGACCCTTCCGTCTTGAGATTTTCCCCACCTATGGTCATGTAGGCACCTGTAGGAATAACAGGAAAGAATGTTATACAATGTAAACTGAGGACAGGAGCTGTTCGTAATGTAAATTACTATAGTCCATTTACTGTCTGCATTTGTTGATGCATGCTGTGAATTTAGACTAACAATCAGCAAAAAGAAGATAAAGGTTATGGTGCAAGGTGTCAATGATAGACCTGTAGTCTACACTGATGGTGAAGAGCTGGAGAGAGTTGGCCATTTTACCTATCTGGGATCTACAGCGAAAAAACAAACTATCACTGGACCAAGAAATCAACATCAAAATAGGTTAGGCAGCAACAACAATGAGCAGATTAACAACAATAGTTTGGGAGAACAGAAAGCTAAAACTAAAACTCTTGTCTATCAGGCTTGTGTTCTCAGTACTCTGCTTTATGGCAGTGAAACTTGGTAAACTTATTCTCACCAGGAGAGACAACTTAATAGCTTTCATATGCGATGCCTAAAAAAAAAACTTTGCATTAAGTGGCAGGACAAGATCACAAACATGACGTAAATTTTAAAGAATAGTTATTACTACTGTCTTTTCAATGCTCAGTTTATGAAGGCTTAGGTGGCTCGGTCACACCTGGAGAATGGCAGAGTCCCTAAGGACATCCTCTATGGTGAATTAAAGACGGGTAAAAGATGTAGAGGTGGACCTCTACAATGATATAAAGATGTGTACACGAACGATACAGGTACTGAGGTGGACTCGTGGGAACAAAATGCAGAGGTCTATGTTGTGTGGAGGGGGCACATCAGGAAGGGAATGACAATGAAGGAAGCAATGATTGCAGAAAGAAGGAGAGCTGAGCTGAGAAGAAACAGACTAAACACAAATGTTGACAACAATGGTGCTGAAATCCCATGCTAGAGTTGTGGAAGCCTGTTCTTAATGTGGGCGGGTCTTTCTAGTCACACTCGTTATCCGATGGGCTGTGAGTCCCATACCTTTTCATTAAACAATATAATACTGTCATCTGGAAATACAGAAAGGTGCCAGCCAATCATAATCTTTTTAGAAATTTTAGCTACACTTTAAAATTCTAATGCTCAAAAATTGTTTGGCTAAAATTGCTGATTTTTTAAAAATAAACAAATAATGGTAATGTCTTGGTGAAATCAGGTTTGCCATCAAGGTCAGAGTATATCTGCCTGAGAGATAAGGAACCAGTAGTCTGCATATAAATAAGCAAGATCTATAAAATGGATGTGCACACAAAACTCAAATTCTGGAACAAGACTGAAGTCCAGAAGTGGATGAACAACCAGAATTTTCAAATGGATTTTTGAGTTGGCGATTGCTAAAATGATGATAAAGAATTTCTATACTATCTAAGAATTTCTAAGATTTCTTGATTGGGGGGGGGGGGGGGGGGGGGGGGGGGCAGGGGAATTGGTAACCCTGAAAATTGTCACATAAAATGTTTTATGACATATATGTAAATTGTTTTAGTGTATATTGCTTTTGTGCATGTTCTCATTTGCAGTAAATTTTAATGTGAAGGAACATAATAATTATGTAGTGCAAAAAACTTTAAAATATACAAATACATGACTCTAGCCAAATAAAAAGACAGAACACTCTTTAAAAAGCCAAAGCAGGCAAACAAAATGTAGATAGAGATGAACAGGAGGATAATATTAGGAGATGTACAAACAGATGCTAATTTAATTACTAAATTTAGGTTTTTTGCACAAATATAAACATAAAATATCCTACCCTGAGCTGTGCCTGTTGTGTGATCAAATTCTCTCTTGCCTCCTGACACTGTACCAAAACTTCTATGCCAGTCTAAACTATCACTGGGGACATTGCTGTACCCACATATATCTTCCAATTCAAAGTCACAGGCTATGGCCTGTACAGAACCAGATGGTGCTACTGCTGCTCAAGTAAAGACAGTGATAATTTAAAAAGCATGATCAACAATTATAACTGACATTAAATAAAAACACACACACAACAAAAGTTAAATGCATTCAAAAACAGGTCAAAAGTTAAAGGCATTCAAAAACAGGTCAAAAGTTAAAGACATTCAAAAACAAACTCCAAAGGAAACTGATGACGAACATTAAATGTGATGAGTTCAAGAAAAGAGAAAAAGGAAACATTTGAACTGCTTGATTTGTTAGTTATTTCAAAAAGAAGATGGCAATATATTCAACACAAAACGATGACTGTGAACAGAGAATCGCTGAGAAACAAATGGATTAAAGAAGCAAGGATGTCCAAGAGAAATCCTAAGATGAACAACATTGATGAAAGATGCCAAAGATACTAGACTGGATTATTTCAATGATATTGAAAGAATGACACTAGACTGAATAGAAGGGAGGACATAATGGGATGCTGACGATGATAGTTTATAACAGAGGTGTTGAGGTTTTGAATAAAGGATCAACATCATGGCACAGGGGTAGTAACCCATAAGTGCTCTGTCTTTCTTCCAACTCAAGTCAAAGTCTGAAGAACCTCAGCACAGTGCACAGGCTCTGTAGCACTGGCGAGGATCCTGAAATACTTTGGGTGGATTTTAAACTGCAAATTTGGTCCTGGCAGCGCCATTAGGCTACTCTTTTCAATTTCCAACTGCCAAGGGATTTTTTAAATGTGCGCAGCAATGGTGCGCAGCAATGCACACATGCATTCAAACTCACTACCCAGAGACAAGGGGGAATTACTAGAAGTCCAAATCCACGTGAAAAACTCCCAGCCTTTACCGGGGATTGAACCCAGAACCTCTAGCACTCGAGGCAGACACCATGCCTCGAGACCACACAACCCCCTGGTTCATAACAGAAAACATGAGAAACATTAGAAATATCCAATGTGATTGCAGAAGCTAAGAAAACTACTTTTTCATATAAATGTAACTGTGGCAATAAAATAGGGGAAAAAAAAAATTAAAGTAGACTCTGAGATCAACTCAATTTCATAGAAATTAGATAATTTCATGAAGGTAATGACAGGGAAGAGAACCAGCCACAACACCTCCTATCCTGTGGCTTAGAATGTGTGATAATCTAAGGTACACCCCATTCTCCCCACCCCCCTCAGCATGTTTGCTTTAGGACTATATCTAACTGATTAAAAAAAAACTAACAAAATTATTTTAAAGAGAAACTTCTTGAGATATTGTGGGGAATGTTATCCTCTTCTTCATCATTATCTGTATTTGCCCGTAACCTTTTCACCCCAGGAAATCACAAACTCAGCAAATCCGGTTCCAATTTCCTGAGAGTGCTGCTTTACCAGCATTTCTACAGTGACCTTTTTTAAAACACCCAGTATACGCCATTGGTTGCTTTTTTGAACCTGTGCAGCATTTAGAAGGTCACAATAGGAACAAATTTACTAATATAATGGGGGGGGGGGGGTGTGGGGGGGGGGGGTCCTGGTGAACCCAATCATTTGTTAACACCAAGTTGATGTCAAATGTTCCCATAAGCTTCAGTGATAGAGGTAGCAGGGTCAAGGCATGAGTTCCCCCATAAGTTTTTAGACCCCAGGGCATGTATTTCATTTAATGCTGTTCATGTTTATTGTTTTTTCCCTGTATATGTCATTATATATTTCAACAATAACACAGTTTTATGTACATAAATCCATTTTTAACAAATTCTTCTTTGATCTGTGTAAAATGTTTGTTTTTTAAAGGATTTTTCAGGAAGTTCACAGGGTACTTGATCTTTTTTTTTTTTTTTAGTATTACTAGAGCAAAAGAGTTATAAGGCAGCTTGGATCTTGTGTTGCGAGCTGAACTGTGATATCAGCATTTTTAAGCCCAACACATCCGATTTTAGCCATAATTAGTCATCTTCAATGATAAGCTTGTCAAGGGGTAGTGGGCTTGTCAAGGGGTAGTGGGCTTGTCAAGGGGTAGTTGGCTTGTCAAGGGGTAGTGGGCTTGTCAAGGGGTAGTGGGCTTGTCAAGGGGTAGTGGGCTTGTCAAGGGGTAGTGGGCTTGTCAAGGGGTAGTGGGCTTGTCAAGGGGTAGTGGGCTTGTCAAGGGGTAGTGGGCTTGTCAAGGGGTAGTGGGCTTGTCAAGGGTTAGTGGGCTTGTCAAGGGTTAGTGGGCTTGTTAAGGGGTAGTGGGCTTGTCAAGGGGTAGTGGGCTTGTCAAGGGATAGTGGGCTTGTTAAGGGGTAGTGGGCTTGTCAAGGGGCGGTGGGCTTGTCAAGGGGTAGTGGGCTTGTCAAGGGGTAGTGGGCTTGTCAAGGGGTAGTTGGCTTGTCAAGGGGTAGTGGGCTTGTCAAGGGGTAGTGGGCTTGTTAAGGGGTAGTGGGCTTGTTAAGGGGTAGTTGGCTTGTCAAGGGGTAGTGGGCTTGTCAAGGGGTAGTGGGCTTGTCAAGGGGTAGTGGGCTTGTCAAGGGTTAGTAGGCTTGTCAAGGGTTAGTGGGCTTGTCAAGGGTTAGTGGGCTTGTTAAGGGGTAGTGGGCTTGTCAAGGGGTAGTGGGCTTGTCAAGGGGTAGTGGGCTTTTGGGCTTGTCAAGGGATAGTGGGCTTGTTAAGGGGTAGTGGGCTTGTCAAGGGACGGTGGGCTTGTCAAGGGGTAGTGGGCTTGTCAAGGGGTAGTGGGCTTGTCAAGGGGTAGTGGGCTTGTCAAGGGGTAGTGGGCTTGTCAAGGGTAGTGGGCTTGTCAAGGTGTAGTGGGCTTGTCAAGGGGTAGTGGGCTTGTTAAGGGGTAGTGGGCTTGTTAAGGGGTAGTTGGCTTGTCAAGGGGTAGTGGGCTTGTCAAGGGGTAGTGGGCTTGTCAAGGGGTAGTGGGCTTGTCAAGGGGTAGTGGGCTTGTCAAGGGATAGTGGGCTTGTCAAGGGGTAGTGGGCTTGTCAAGGGGTAGTGGGCTTGTCAAGGGGTAGTGGGCTTGTTAAGGGGTAGTGGGCTTGTCAAGGGGTAGTGGGCTTGTCAAGGGGTAGTGGGCTTGTCAAGGGGTTGTGGGCTTGTCAAGGGATAGTGGGCTTGTTAAGGGGTAGTGGGCTTGTCAAGGGATGGTGGGCTTGTCAAGGGGTAGTTGGCTTGTCAAGGGGTAGTGGGCTTGTCAAGGGGTAGTGGGCTTGTCAAGGGGTAGTGGGCTTGTCAAGGGGTAGTGGGCTTGTCAAGAGGTAGTGGGCTTGTCAAGGGGTAGTGGGCTTGTTAAGGGGTAGTGGGCTTGTCAAGGGGTAGTGGGCTTGTCAAGGGATAGTGGGCTTGTCAAGGGGTAGTGGGCTTGTGAAGGGGTAGTGGGCTTGTCAAGGGGTAGTGGGCTTGTTAAGGGTAGTGGGCTTGTCAAGGGGTAGGGGCCATTCTTTTCTGTTTCCCAAATTAGATCCTGGAAACCACAAGAAGAATAGGGAGTGTATTTTGTACACATAGAAGTAAATCAGCTGACAATGCAAACTTTTGTGCACATACATTTCTGATGTACACAAAAGGGAAAACTTCTGTCTATTTATTAACAGTCACAAACACAGAAGCAGAAACAGCTCAACCAAAAGTAAATAATCACAGCGAAATATGCCTGGCAATAAATTGTGCAATGTATTGTTTGTATCCGCATTATTTAAAATCATATTTGAGTTGTTTTAACTGTATTGTGTATTTTTTCTGTGTTGGAAACATTCTTCTTCTTTCCTCTACTCCTCAAATCTTCTTCCTATTCATCTTTCATTTGTTTGAAATAGATTATCTATATCTACAATATTGTCTCTAGTATGAGCTTCATTGTCTTTTGTAATTCACTCAGGGTCCCGCAAAGTTTAACTTGAACCAATGTTTCTCTTGGCCAAAAGTTTTGCCTCAACATGTTGTATTTGGGACAGTCTTGGAGGACATGATCTGTTGTCTCAGGTGCTAATCCACATGTACACATGGCACTCCTGATATGCCTCACAGAATCAGGGGAAGAAAAGATCTATGGAACGGGCCCTTCTATTTGCTTCGTGTATATACTTTTCAGTGTCTATGATATGTCTTTTGCATGGTCGACCTCTGGTTCTGTTATCGCTATATCTGTATAACATTCTTTGTGTGATGCCTTGTCTAATGCCAAACTTGTTTCATGGCCAAACCATTTTATTGATTTTTTACTGATAAAGTTTAATATTAGTTCTGTATTGACTGTCCCCCTGATATCATCGTTCCTAAGTCAATCTTTCCTTGTTACACCTAGCATAGTATGTAAACATTTAATTTCTGTCTTCTGAAGTCAGTGTCCATGTTTGACACTGATAGCATAGCACTAGTAAGAATATTGTGTTGAGCAATGCTCTTTCAGTAGTCATATTCATATGCTTGCATTTCAAAATTGGTGCCATTTAGCATATAACTTGATTGGCTTGATTGCATCTTTGTTGATTTCTTTATTAATTCTTCCATCTTCTGAAACAAAATGTTCCCCAGATATGTAGAGTAGTTTGCCTGCTTTAACTGTTGTTCACCAATTCCGTGATTAGTGGTTCTTCTTTTTCTGGAAATGTCATCACTTCTGTTTTGTCTACATTGATCTTCATATCATAGATCATAGTTGTTGCATGCTGAGTGGAGTCTATTCATATGTTCTTGTAGTTGGAAACATTAATAATGGAGAAGACTTCACATATCCTAATTTGCAGCATAACAGGTTGATGACAGAGCCTTTTCTCATTAAAAAAAATAAATTGTCCCCTTAGATTTGCATTCTGTAAGATTAACATCTCAAGGATGAGAATCAAAATAGCTCCAATCCTGGAAAGCCCCTATAGCACATAAAGCACAGTTATCTCACTGCTTTCAATCTGGCAAAACATAAAACCCAGGTTAGGTATGTGTTTCAAGATTCAGCTGCAGCAGTTCTTAAATACTCTTGCCTTTATGTTCCTGAGTCAATCAATCAAGCAAGCATATAATGTTAAATGATGTTAACTTATATTAACTGTTAGAGGCCATGACAGTACGGGGCTAGCAAGATTGCTAGCATCAAGGTATATTTGAGACATTCAGCCTAACAATAACTGCATAGGTTGGAACATATAGGAAAAATCACAGATAACAGAGCAGCAAATACTGTATAATCAAAAAGAGCTGAACAGGAGTTCAGACCAAGAAGATAGTATAGAGTTAATTTACAGGCAAGACCTACAAACAGTTGGAAAACCAGCTGTGGCTCCCATATTTTATACGTACATACTTTAATGAAATTGTATGTCAATTATTAAGATATGAAATCAAATCAACACTCACAAATGCAAGCGCCATCAATAATGGATACATCATCAATGGCAACATCCTCTTCATTTTGTGAAGATCCACTGCCTTCAATCAACACCTGAACCAGAAGACTGTATCATTAGCATGAGCTGTCTACAACAGCATTTTTATCATTAGCATGAGCTGTCTATGACAGCATTTTTTATCATTAGCATGAGCTGTCTATGACAGCATTTTTATCATTAGCATGAGCTGTCCAGGACAGCATTTGTATCATTAGCATGAGCTGTCCAGGACAGCATTTGTATCATTAGCATACCATGAGCTGTCCAGGACAGCATTTGTATCATATTAGCATACCATGAGCTGTCCAGGACAGCATTTGTATCATTAGCATACCATGAGCTGTCCAGGACAGCATTTGTATCATTAGCATACCATGAGCTGTCCAGGACAGCATTTGTATCATTAGCATGAGCTGTCCAGGACAGCATTTGTATCATTAACATGAGCTGTCTATGACAGCATTTTTATCATTAGCATGAGCTGTAAAGGACAGCATTTTTATCATTAGCATGAGCTGTCCAGGACAGCATTTGTATCATTAGCATACCATGAGCTGTCCAGGACAGCATTTGTATCATTAGCATGAGCTGTCCAGGACAGCATTTGTATCATTAGCATGAGCTGTCTATGACAGCATTTTTATCATTAGCATGAGCTGTAAAGGACAGCATTTTTATCATTAGCATGCCATGAGCTGTCCAGGACAGCATTTGTATCATTAGCATGCCATGAGCTGTCCAGGACAGCATTTGTATCATTAGCATATTATGAAGAGATTCTTTGCAGAAAGTTGATCTCCTCACAGCCAGCCTGAAAAACTCAGTCTCTTGTTAGCTCTCCTGCCTCATGCACTTTCCTGCCCAAGGAGTCACCCTGCTCCTTATCTTCATACCATGCCTTCTGCTACTAATTTTTTGAATCCATCATCATGCTTGATATGGCAAAAATATTTCAGCTTTTGAGACAAGATGCTGTTTTAGCGAATCTTCCTCAATATGAAGATTTTTTTAAGGATGTAAGTATTTCTTTTCTTCTTTGTCCATGATATTCTAAGAATATTTCTTTAGCATTTCAGCTCAAAAGCCGCCTATTTTATTCCTTGAGGAATAAAGAATGCTGTCCAAAACAGTACTGCCACTTCTGGGATCATCCAAAAGACAGTCCTAGCAGGCAAGCGATGAACTAACCAATTTGCCATCTTAGCTCCTTTGAAAGTAATACACACACACACTATTCATTTAGATTAATGTTAGGTCTTTGTCAGACTGGACTCAGCTACTATAAAAGCAGGTCATGCTACCTGTTAACGGCATATATGAAACCTGACAACCCACAATGTGCCAATGCCTATGGGGCAGAGAAGTGCACTGGGGAGGATACTAGAAAGGGAAGTGCAACTTGAAAACTTAAAGTGATGGTAGGGCAGACCAGACCCTTTGTTTGGTTTGCAGCTGGTTTAGGAGGAAGGCTCGGACAGAAGAATAGACAGAATACTTCTCTTCTGATCTGGCAGCTTCTGCAGCATGCTTTTTTTTTCTTTGCGCCGGGTCAGTCTCCCCCATTGGGAAACGGCCCGGCAGAGAGTTTTCTTTCTGAGATGGCTCTTGCCATTTTGGTTACACTCATGTGTTCGGGACAGATCCTGGCCCTTCTGGCCAGACCAATTGCAGCAGCGCTTCACTTTGATCTCAGCCAAAAGGCCAAGAAGGGATTTGTTCCCACAGTATCAGTTTTACTTTTTCAAGGTAGGCCCAAATAAAGGGAAAAAGTTCTTTACATTACTGCCCAGGCATCGTGCTATGGAGAGGAGGAACTTCATTAGTGACAGCACCTGGTATTGGAGGTCTCATGCCTCCTAGTGGCACAGTATAATATTATCATCTGACAACACAGAAAGGTGCCAACAATGTTTGCTGCAAAATTTTCAGACTATGAAAGTTGATATTCTGAATTCATTTGAAAGCTATCCAATAAATGACGCCAGGTTGTAAAAACGTGAAGGTGGTGAGTGTTAATTTGTGTCACTTAGGAAAGTCATAAATACAGATGTTTGCTTGATATTGCAAAGTTATTGTGTTGTCAGCAGTATCTCAATTAAGAGTGTGTGCCACAAGAGTGTCTTTAGTTTACTGTCAACTTGCATGGAAGCTATTGACATCTGTGGCTTAAGCATTTTGAACATGCTTCATGAATCCAAAATACTCAGTTCAATTTCAACTGCAGGCAATGTGGCAGCAGACCACTTTTTGTTAATTTCAACAATTGACTGGTAAACCCACAAACAGCCACAAATTGCTGGATTAGGTTCTGCAATGTCCTGGAAAGAATACACAAATAACTTCTATGGAAGGTGTGTCTACAATGGTGCATGAGCCAAGATTAACAATGAAAGCCTCTATAATTTGGGACCGTTATTCGGAGGATAGCTCTGTTTTCTATATTCAGATTTTCTTCTGTTGATGTCCTGTTATAAATACCTATACCAGCCCTATACAGACATATCCTGCGTCTCCTGCTGTGAAATTAAATGGTCAACATCATCAAGTGCCTTGGTGACTAGTGTGGGTGATCATAAAAAAAAGTAAAAGTAAAGGACTCTTTCCAAGCCTTTAGGCGTGTAGGGCATATAGGGCTAGACCTATATTTTTATAGACCAACAGCACAAGATGGGTGATGTGGTCAGCATCTCGCCGGCCGCCTCTACTTCCCGGCATTGCACCCGGTGTGGATGATCATGCCTCTACACAATCTGCGATTTGCAACTGCAGGCATCAGTTTGTGTGTTGACACCCCTTCATGCAATGACCAAAGGTTTTCAAAAATTTACTTTTACTGTCTTCCTCTGTCTTATCTTTCTACAGATCTTTTCAGTGGTCACAGCATGTTCCAGTTTCCCTCTTCTCATAACATGATAAAAAATGATTGTCTCTTTCTGGTGTTTGTGATAAGATGTCTTCGAGCCCTCACCTCATTCAAAACATCTGGGTTGCCCTTTTTAGCTGTCCAAGGAATTCTAAGAATTCTTCTGTAAAACTAAATCTATGAAGCCTGAAGAAATTGTTCGGCCTGTTCATTATTCATTCAGGATTCACACCCATATGTTAAAACTGGCTCAATATAGCCTGCAAGAATTCTTCCTAACCTTCAATGACACAGATTTATTAAGTAAAATGTTCTTCATTTTATAAAATGAAGTTTTGGCCTGTCCTATTCTGTTCTTGATCTCTGTGATACACCTTCCATCGGATGTTATCTGCGTGCCTAGATACTTAAATTTCTGTACTTGTCCCAAAATAATGCCATGACTTTTATTACACATTTAAGCTGTATACTTTTATTGGAAATTACCATTTCTTTTATTTTCCCATTATTCAAGATGCAGCACATTTTATTACCTCCTACCACCACTGTGTTGGGCTCTGTGGCTAAGTCGATGCAAACGCTTCGTAACGTTGGGATGCCGGATTCGATCCCAGCTGTGGGTCCTGCGCCTTGCGTTGGTTTTGACAGTGGTATCAGGGGGCTGACCGTCCAGATAGCAATGGCAAACTACTGGACATAAATTTGTCTAGAAAAACCACACAACAGCCAAGGGGTTGGTTCTGCAATGTCCTGTAAAGGATACGCAACTAACCTAACCACCACTGTATCTATCACTTCCTGTAGTTCTTTCTGACTTGTTGCTATCAAGATGGTGTCATCAGCATAATGTAGGTTGTTTATGTTATGACCGCCAGCCACAATTAATTAACTGGTGTCCACAGTGAAACAAGCAAGACTCACCATGGCTGTCTTATTAACAGTCACCTGTCCCAGTTTGTAGTTAATCCCTTGAGTCCCACTTCTGCTCCAAACAGGAACTGAAGCAGTTCCATTAGGACTCAAGTAGACATTCAGAGTCCCCACCCATGCACCATGCATGAGATAGTAGAACTGGAAACATTTTGGTTGTCCACCGGTTATGTTGACAATAGGGCTGACTAATCTGGCTTTCTGACTTGACAGATGCTCTTTGGAATTTGCGGACATGTAGTATCCTGTTTGAGGAAAATAAACATAAGCTTATTACTGCTTGTATTTACCACTTTTTAGGTGATGCAGGACAGGGAAAGTCTTAAGACTGCAGATTTAAGGTGCATTCTCCATGAAGTGTGTATATTAGAATGTTTATTATTATCCCTGAAAGTCAAAAAACAAATCTCCATCACCTTTCTTAGCAGTCTTCTTCTTCTTCTTCTTTTTCTTCTTCTTCTTCTTCTTTTTCTTCTTCTTCTTCTTGTTCTTGTTCTTCTTCTTCTTCTTCTTCTTCTTCTTCTTCTTCTTCTTCTTCTTCTTCTTCTTCTTCTTGTCCACCTCGGGGCTTTAGTCTTGTTCTAGAACATGAGTGTTGTGTGCACATACATTTTACAGACCTGACTTATGTGTATGCAGACTGCTGATTCCTTGCCTCATAGGCAGATGCAGTCTGATTATTATTTCCCCCCAAAATGAGGCCCTGAAATCCATACTGTGAAAGTGGGGATTGAATCCAGATATTGTATGCAGATATTAGGTTTCTTGTCTATAAGGCAGATGCACTCCAACTTTGCAGGAAGCCCCCAATTAGTCAACTTTTACAACATGCTTGTTTGGGATACAGAGGATCTATTCTTATTTTATCCACAATAGAGCCCCAGAACCCACACGAGAAACAGAATTTGAATTCATTCCTCATGAGAGTGCTGCATTCTACTGCAACTGCTCTTCATTTGAGATAAAGAATGATTATACATTTCAGCTTGAATAAAGTAGCCATAGGCTGGGAGGAAGGTGAGGAGAAGACTAAGAAAGAGATGGGTAAATGGTGTATCTGAAACCTGCTAAAAGATAAACAAATCCATCATCCAAGCCACCTGAGAAGGGCAAGACAAGTACAGAAAACTATGACACTGGGCTACAACCTGGTATCAGTGAGGCAACAAATGAAAGGAAGAAAATACAGTATGCAAGACAAATCTCCACAAGGAAGGCTGATGCAGTAGATCAACTGCTGACCATGAGAATATTTATGTGGTGACACCCTAATCTCTAAATGTGATTGAGGTGGAGTGGGGGGGGGGGAGGGAGGGAGGGTTGACCATTTCAACCTGCTGTAAACAGCATTGGTTGTATAAAGTTTCTAAGACTTATGACTGAGTTTCAACTAGCATGTCGTAAGTTGAATTTATATTTTTCAACACTGTATTTCGTTCAAACTGTGCTTCCAATAGTCTACCACATGTGTTAGGATCAAACAGACTCTGAGGTCCGACCTTGCTGCCCTCTAGGCATCAGTTCTGTGAATTTCTTTTTTTTAAAATCCTACCAATGTGGTCATCTTTCTTTATGTTATGTTATTTCTTTCTTTCTTTTTACGTTTTTGTTTGTTTGTGTGTGTGTGTTTGTTTATTTGTTTGGTTGTTCGTTTGGTTGGCTGGTTGGTTGGTTGGTTGGTTGGTTGGTTGGTTGGTTGGTTGGTTGGTTGGTTGGTTGGTTGGCTGGCTGGCTGGTTGGTTGGTTGGTTGGTTGGTTGGTTGGTTGGTTGGTTGGTTGGTTGGCTGGCTGGTTGGTTGGTTGGTTGGTTGGTTGGTTGGTTGGTTGGTTCATTGGTTGGTTGGTTGGTTGGCTGGTTGGTTGGTTGGTTGGTTGGTTGGTTGGTTGGTTGGTTGGTTGGTTGGCTGGTTGGTTGGTCGGCCGGTTGGGTGGGTGGGTGGGTAGGAGGGGTGTGTGTGTGTATGCACGTGCATGTGTGTGTGCGTGCGTGCATGCGCATGTGTGTGTGTGTGGGGGGGGGGGGGGGGGATTGTGTAGTAAATGCAGATAATTATGAGTCAGAAAGGTTTTAAGTCAAGGAATGGGTATATTTGTGGTCTGGTTTATTTGTGGCAAGTTTACTGGATGAGGTTTCTGCATCTGTGTCAGCCCTGATGGCTAAGTTTCCCTGCCTGAGTATATCCAGTCTCTTCCATATTGGATTCTTGTACTACTATCTGAAAGCCATGGGAACAGACCATTTCTAAATCATTTGCCATGAAAATCTTACTCTAGCACCCTTCATACTTTTCTTGTCCTTCTTCTTTATTTCCTCTTTTAATGCTTCAGGTGTTGAAGGAGATACACGGTTCTGTTTCTTGCTCTTTTGGTCCCTTCAAACACACACTGTGCTGTTGTAGAGTTTCTCTGATGTTATCTTTCTATGTTGTTCTTGGGACACCTCATGCTCTAACACTCAAGACTTATTCAATGAATTCTATAAACTCAAAGCCAGAGCTGCACAGAAGGCATGAAATGACAACCACACATAATAGGTGTGAAGTAAAGCTATGTTGATAAAATTTGCATCTGATTATTTTGTTTTTAACCTGTTTATTCCACTATAAACATTTACTAGGTGACCTCTATGACTTTCTTTTTGTTTGTTTTGTTGAATCAATACAAAGTAGGAAACTGGAACTGTGCCACGTCTTCAAAAAGAGCTAATATACAAATTGTCTAAAACTGCTGCTTTAACCACCACTTATCTATCCTTGTTCTGCCTCTTTAAAACAGATATCCCATTATATGCCACATGTTTTGTACACAGTGGTATTCACAACTTATTTATTTCATCAAAACACCAGTTCTAGGGGTGACCAATAGCAGGAAGCTAGGACCTGGGGCTCCAGGCAGCGTTTAAATCTCCATCCCAAAAATGTGTAAAGTAGCTAAGTGTCCTCATGTATAAAGTAGCTAAGTGTCCCCATGTGTGAAGTAGCTAAGTGTCCCCATGTGTGAAGTAGCTAAGTGTCCCCATGTGTAAAGTAGCTAAGTGTCCCCATGTGTGAAGTAGCTAAGTGTCCCCATGTATAAAGTAGCTAAGTGTCCCCATGTGTAAAGTAGCTAAGTGTCCTCATGTATAAAGTAGCTAAGTGTCCCCATGTGTGAAGTAGCTAAGTGTCCCCATGTAAGAAGTAGCTAAGTGTCCCCATGTGTGAAGTAGCTAAGTGCCCCCATGTGTGAAGTAGCTAAGTGTCCTCATGTGTGAAGAAGTGTGAAGTAGCTAAGTGTCCTCATGTGTGAAGAAGCTAAGTGTCCCCATGTAAGAAGTAGCTAAGTGTCCTCATGTGTGAAGTAGCTAAGTGTCCCCATGTAAGAAGTAGCTAAGTGTCCCCATGTGTGAAGTAGCTAAGTGCCCCCATGTGTGAGTAGCTAAGTGTCCCCATGTGTGAAGTAGTAGGTCCACAAGTGTACCTAAGTGTCCCCATGTGTGAAGTAGCTAAGTGTCCCCATGTTTGTGAAGTAGCTAAAGTGTCCCCCATGTGTGAAGTAGCTAAGTGTCCTCATGTGTGAAGTAGCTAAGTGTCCCCCATGTGTGAAGTAGCTAAGTTGTCCCCCATGTGTGAAGTAGCTAAGTGTGTCCTCATGTGTGAAGTAGCTAAGTGCCCCATGTGTGAAGTAGCTAAGTGTCCCCATGTGTGAAGTAGCTAAGTGTCCCCATGTGTGAAGTAGCTAAGTGTCCCCATGTGTGAAGTAGCTAAGTGTCCTCATGTGTGAAGTAGCTAAGTGTCCCCCATGTGTGAAGTAGCTAAGTGTCCCCATGTGTGAAGTAGCTAAGTGTCCTCATGTGTGAAGTAGCTAAATGTCCCCATGTGTGAAAGTAGCTAAGTGTCCTCATGTGTGAAGAAGCTAAATGTCCCCATGTGTGAAGTAGCTAAGTGTCCTCATGTGTGAAGTAGCTAAGTGTCCCCATGTGTGAAGTAGCTAAGTGTCCCTCATGTGTGAAGTAGCTAAGTGTCCTCATGTGTAGCTAAATGTCCCCATATGTGAAGTAAGCTAAGTGTCCTCATGTGTGAAGTAGCTAAGTGTCCTCATGTGTAAGTAGCTAAGTGTCGTTAATGTGAAGTAGTATCCTCATGTGTGTGAAGTAGCTTAATGTGTGAAGTAGTCTAAGTGTCCTCATGTGTGAAGTGAAGTAGCTAAGTGTCCCCCATGTGTGAAGTAGCTAAGTGTCCCCATGTGTGAAGTAGCTAAGTGTCCCCATGTGTGAAGTAGCTAGCATGTAAGAAGTAGCTAAGTGTCCCCATGTGTGAAGTAGCTAAGTGCCCCCATGTGTGAAGTAGCTAAGTGTCCCCATGTGTGAAGTAGCTAAGTGTCCCCATGTGTGAAGTAGCTAAGTGTCCCCATGTGTGAAGTAAGCTAAGCTGTCCTCATGTGTGAAGTAGCTAAGTGTCCCCCATGTGTTAAGTGTCCCCATGTGTGAAGTAGCTAAGTGTCCCTCATGTGTGCTAAAGTAAGAAGCTGAAGTAGCTAAGTGGCCCCCCATGTGTGAAGTAGCTAAGTGTCCTCATGTGTGAAGTAGCTAAGTGTCCTCATGTGTGAAGTAGCTAAGTGTCCCCCATGTGTGAAGTAGCTAAGTGTCCTCATGTGTGAAGTAGCTAAGTGTCCTCATGTGTTAAAGTAGCTAAGTGTCCCCATGTGTGAAGTAGCTAAGTGTCCCTCATGTGTGAAGTAGCTAAGTGTCCCCATGTGTGAAGTAGCTAAGTGTCCCCATGTGTGAAGTAGCTAAGTGTCCTCATGTGTGATGAAGTAGCTAAGTGTCCTCATGTGTGAAGTAGCTAAGTGTCCCTCATGTGTGAAGTAGCTAAGTGTCCTCATGTGTGAAGTATGTGTAAGTGTCCCCATGTGTGAAGTAGCTAGCATGTGTGAAGTAGCTAAGTGTCCCCATGTGTGAAGTAGCTAAGTGTCCTCATGTGTGAAGTAGTAGTAGTGTCCTCATGTGTGAAGTAGCTAAGTGTCCCCATGTGTAGCTAAGTGAAGTAGCTAAGTGTCCCCATGTAAGAAGTAGCTAAGTGTCCCCATGTGTGAAGTAGCTAAGTGTCCCCATGTGTGAAGTAGCTAAGTGTGTCCCATGTGTGAAGTAGCTAAGTGTCCCCATGTGTGAAGTAGCTAAGTGTCCCCATGTGTGAAGAAGTGTGAAGTAGCTAAGTGTCCCCATGTGTGAAGTAGCTAAGTGTCCCCATGTGTGAAGTAGC